AAAACCCGCCCGCCGACCCAAATTTTTAGATTCCATGTTATGCAAAACGAAAAATTAACTTTGCGTGGCCTAAAATTGATGATGCTGAAATTTGAATCTATTTTATGAAATGTTGAGGTGCATTTCTTAGTAGTTTTTCTTTTTAGAGATAGCTTAGGAACATGAATAATCTTCAGATTTCAGCATTACCCGTGACAAAAAATAAGAACGAATATATATTCACTGCTTCATTTGTTACACATTAAATATGAAAATTTCCCGCATTTAATTATCACGTTCCTCATTTTGCTTTCTTTCTTGTTTTTATTTACCTGATTTAAGTGTTTAACAAGTTTTTTTTTTATTCAGATAAATTAGTTTTTGATGTACAGCAGAACGAACAACATTTTGGCATTTAGATATGTAAAAAAAAGGTTGGTTTCCTTTTTTCAGATTAGTTAATGTTAATCGATGTCATCATTTAAAATTTCGCACATAGCTGATCTTGGTTATGTTAGGATGCTAGTCCATGCGTGTCCCGAACAACGCGCACTTCATAGTAATTTTGCTCGTGTGTTTTTTTAATTTTTATAATAAATACATGCACATGACAACATTAAAATTTTTCACAGTTGTCACGTGTAAACAATTTTTATTATTTCAGTCAGTCCACTATAAGTGTATATTTCTTAAGTGTACTGAGCGTACTTTCCCCGACGAGAAAGCTTATAGAGGCTTTGTTGCATTTTTTTTTATTTATTAGAAAAAGCAACCATTTTATTTATTATATCCAAACACGCCAGTTTTTATTTATTATATCCTGGACATGCTATAGCTTTTTTATGGTCTTATTTAATTAATCAACGTAAAATGTATCAATAACGTAACTCAATTTAGGGTGCATTTTAGGTCTATCAAAAAAGCAACTATTGATGTACCAAAAACATTAGTAAAAAAATCACATTTTACTATACTGAGAATCGATCTATATATAAAAAATGTACCGAACGTCGTACGTACATGCAATAGTATGCACGTATATACATACATATGCGTACGTACGTACGTACGTACCTATACGTACATTCTGAAATTCCAGTTTAATTTTTCTTTCTGACATTTAATAATGAGCGAGGACTGGTTTCAGTCAGCAGTTAAAAAGTATAACATAAAAGAAATACCTTATAAAGCATTTAGTAATAAAAAAAAGATAAAAAGAGGGGGATTCGGAATAGTATTTAGAGTAAAATGTGAGTCGTTAGGAGATGTAGTCATTAAAGAAGTGGCTGATACAGATGTAGATGAACAAAACAGGAAGATTTTCATAAACGAAGTTTGTAATTGAATTTAATAGTAGAAATATTCATTAACTTCACTGATATTGAATTTTAAGTATTAATATTTTTCAGCTAAAACAGCATAGTAGAGCTAACCATCCTCGAATTATTCAATTTCATGGGATCACTATGGGTGAGGCTATTTTATACATTTTCTTACTATAGCAAACTTTTCTAATAAATTGATAAATTTTATATTAAAATTTTATAAAGATAAGGACGAAGAAATACATTTTCTTGCTCTAGAATATGCAAATAACGGAAATTTACGACAATATTTAAAAGAATTAAAACCAGGATGGCTAGAGAAAATTAGACTTACAACTCAAATAGCCGAAGGAATGTGCTATCTTCATAGCATAAATATCATACATCGTGACTTGGTAACGTAGCTTTTATTTTTACCGTTTATTATTAAATATCCAATGCTGCTGAAGTTATAAATGCAAAATATTTACATTACATTATTTTAATATTTTTGCATCTATAACATTAAAAGCTCGGATGTGCTATAACATTAAAAGTTAGGATGTGTTACTGCTATCGCAAGCATAATCATTTATAATCATGGATATTGATTTTTTATCAATTGCACATGAGTGCTGCTAAGTAAAAATTTTAAACATTGATTTTAAATTTTAAATTTTTAACGTTTCAGACTTAACCTGACGGAAAGCAGTGTTTAATAAGGAAAACCTGTAAGTACAAAATTAAATTTTATTTATACTTTAACTATACAGAACTTAAATTTGGAAATTTTTGATAACACTGATTATCAATTAATGTTTTGAATTTAAATTCGGTATAGCTAAAGTATAGCCAAAATTTAAATTCGTACTTTCAAGTTTCTCCTTTGCAGTACTCATTTTTAGTTAATAGCATTCATATGACAATAAAATATTTTGATCTATTTATTTATCTTATACTGTATTAAATTAAAAAATGCCTCTATTGTGAATTATTTTAAAATCAAGAAATTCAAAGTCCATGATTATAAGTGTCTTTGTTTATGCTTAAATTTTAATAGATGTTTACATTATTTTTGAACGCATTTAATAAGTGACTCATGAAATGATATATTTAGCATACGGAAAATATTCTTGTCCATCAGAAGGATATTAAAATTTCGGACTTTGGATTTTCAAGAAAACTTGATTGTATGATGAATACAAATAGTAAACATCTTTATGGTGTAATTCCTTTTGTCGATCCTCAAAAGCTCAAAAACTTTCAATATAAGTGCGATCAAAAATCTGACATTTATAGCATCGGTGTGCTTATGTGGGAGGTCTCGAGTGATGGACAAATTCCATTTGCTCAGGAAAATTATAGTACACTCGCAATAAGTATCATTCAAGGTTTACGCGAAAAACCTGTCTCAGGAACCCCTATGCATTACATTAGTCTTTATTCAGGATGTTGGAATAATGAGCCGCATAAACGTCCTTCCGTGGTGGAAATCTTTCGACAATTAGAAACTTTAGAATTGGATCCTAAATACAAAGATACCGAACTTAAAGAAAATAATAGCTCTGATTTTAAAAGCGTTGATATTGGTTTGTATTTTTCTATTTTGTGCGTGGACTCTTAAATGCTTTATTATATCATTTCTCTCATTTTCTCTCATTAGACGGCGAAATTTATAAAACAAAAGGGAGTAGAGATTTAGAATTTCGTATCAACAGTGAAATCATTTAATGTTTTTTAATATTTATTTAATGTTTAGTTTGATTAGGTTCTTTATGTATTTGCGATAAATTAAAGAGAGTGTATGCTAAATTTATATTAATAAGTTAATATATATGGGGGGG